CATATGTATTGTGGATTGATGATTGTATGAACTCTTGAAAATATTTATCAAATAACAAGGAACTATGCAGGTTCCAATGGGAAACCATTAAAGAGTGCACGTAGGAAAATCTCGGCGTCTTCTCTCTCTCTCTCTCATTTAATTTCTCTCTTACTCTTGCATTTAATTTCGTAGTATTTGCATATTTAAGTTTTTTTTAATTCCTTCATAGTTTATCATTTGTTCATTGATAGCAATTTATTGCGTAAGCATTAGGTTTTGTTGGAATTGGATAACTTATTAAGCTAAATTAGTGATTAATTTTCTAATAAACAAATTGACATTAGAATTCCAATCATTAAATCATTGTGTAAACACTTCATGTGAATTACACAGTTGAATCAATTCACACCTAGTGTTTCATCATATTCATCTTTGGTATTGGTGAAACGAATTGTGTTAACTTGATCAAAATTCAAACAGTTTAATTTTCACATTTTCGTATCAAACATTCCGCTCGCAATTATTTTTGAAAACACTCTAATTTTGAAAATGATATTTAAATTTTAAATTAAATCTATTCACCTCCCCTTCTAGACCGTTTTTCTACTTCCATATTTACACCCAACAATTGGAATCAAGAGCTGGTCTTTTGATTGCATCTAATCGACATCCAAAAGTTTGTGAATATGTTGGAAGATGATGATCCTAAGGGAACATATAATATACCACCTGTTTTCAAAGACAAAAATTATACTTATTGGAAATCGATCATGTATGTATACTTATTATCGATTGACAAAAATATGTGGTTTGACGAGAAACCATTTATTCCCAAGGGTGATGACGATGTTGTTAAACATCCAAAAGTTTGGGATGATGCTTAAACCAAAAAGGCTTCTTGTGATTTAAAAGCGAGGAACATACTTATATTTGCGTTAAGCGCTAAAGTGTTCTATTCGATTTCACATCATACGAATGCTAAAGGTATGTGGTATACTCTCCAAACTCTCTATAAGGGAACGAATAATTTCAAGGATTCTAGAGTCAATATGTTTATAGAACATATTGAACTATTTCGTATGGAACCCGAAGAATCCATAGATTCCATGCAAACTAGATTCCTCCATTTTAAGAAACTACAAACTTGGGTAAAAACCTTTTCCAACAAAGATTGTACTAACAAAATATTGAGATCCATATGCAGGGAGTGGCAACCAAAAGTCACTTCTATAAAAGAAGCAAATGATCTTAGTACTTTGGAAATTACAAAGCTAATTGAAAAGTTAGTCGGGCATGAGAATGAGCCGAAACGACTCGCCGATAGCGAAGTAAAGTCGAAAAAGAATAAGAAAGGTAAAGAAGAGAAACGAGATATTTCTTTGAAAGCTTCATCTTCTAAAGGGAAGAAGTCAAAGGAAGAAAGTGACAACTATGACGAAGAGGTTTGCAAAAAGGAAGAAATGGGTTTATTTGTCAGACATAATAATAGATATCTTAAGATAAACAAGCTTAAGCGTACCGACAAAGGTCTAGTGAGTTTAAAAAATACTCATCTATCCAAGAAAGATCACAAGAAAGTTGATGATGATATCACGTGTTATGAATGTGGTAAATTGGGACATTGTAGAACCACATGTCCAAGCCTCACCAAACATCATAAAATAAAGACAAGGATTTCTACAAGACGAAGGGAAAATCTTACCAAGGTCGTAAAGCCTACATCGTGTGGAAAGAAGAGGATGAAAGTTCCTCCTCTGATTCTTGCTCAAGTTCAGATAATGAGTGTGTCAACTTTAGCTTGATGGCACGTAAGAAAGATGAAACTTTAAAGATATATAATTCTGATTCCAAAAATGTGTATACTTATAGTGAATTGCCGAATGCATTTAATGACATGTATGTTATTTCTATAAAAGCGTTTAAGAAAATTTCTCTCGAAAAAGAAATGATTTTAAAACTTGAAAAGGAGATAAATAATCTTATTCGTACTTTAAGAGATAGGAATCGCATACATCTCTTATGGATAAGCGTTGTAATATTTTAGATACTTTAGTTGAAAAGATAGAAGTTGTGGAATGTGTTGAGTGTCCGATTTTAAAACTTGAAATTGAAACTTTTAAAGGACAATTAACACATGCTACCTCACTATCTTATACTTGTTCTAGTTTTTCGAGTGAATGAGGGAAAGTTTTTAAGAAAAACCCCTATGTCACTAAAAGAAATAGAAGAAGCATTTCATCTAAAACTATTTGCCATTATTGTGGAGATAAGGGTCACATTAGGCCTCTTTGTCATGTTAGGAACGTTCAAGTTTCCAATGGTAAAATGAGATGGATTCCTAAATGTAACTCAACTAACCCTAAAGGACGCACTAGTTAGGGACCTAAATCACCTATTTGATTTGTCGCAAGAAAGTTTTGCCTCTACAAAAGATTATGGTTTCTAGATAACGGATGTTAAAGACACATGATGGAAGATGCTTCCATGTTCATCAAGTTCGATGAGAAGGAAAGTGCTCACGTAATGTACGAAGACAATACGAAAGATAAATTTTTTGGTGAAGGTATTGGGGAAAATTCCTCCACAATTACCATTAAAAATGTGTTGCTAGTCAAAGAGCTTAAACATAACTTGCTAAGTATTAACCAATAATGTGACAAAGGGTATTTTGTGATTTTTTATACTCTGAGTTGTGTAATTGGGCATAAGACTAGTAAGGAACTTGTGTTTAAGATTATAGAATTGAAAATGTCTCTATGCTTGATACAGATGACATGTAAATGCATAGTACTAAGTGTTTAGTAGTTAAGAATGAAGATTTATTGTTATGGCATAAACGCTTAAGTCATGTGAATTTTGACTTGCTAATTAAAATAGCATCCAAAAATATAGTAGTTGGCCTTCCTAAAATAAAGTTTTTTTTAAAAAAAATCATGTGATGTTTGCCAAATGGGAAAGCAAACGAGATTGTCGTTTAAATCGAAGGTTAATTCGACATCAAGTTTAGGAGACAACTATTACGGATTTGTGGATTGTTGACGACTACTCTAGATTTACTATTACGAATTTGTGATTGTTGACGACTACCCAAGCTTTTGTTGACTTTGCTAAGGTCGTCCAAAATGTTTTTGATTTTAAAATTATCACTCTCCATAGTGATTATGGTGGTGAATTCGTTAACTATCGTTTTCAAAACTTTTGCACCAAAAATAGTATTGCTCACAATTTCTCATGTTTGAGAACTCCACAACAAAATGGTATTGTATAGCGTAAAAACAATGTTTTTGAAGAATTAGCCCAAACTATGATAAATGAGATGAGTCTACCTAAGTATTTTTGGACATATGCGATTAATATTGCATGTCATGTGTTAAATAGGGTGATCATTAGATTCATCCTAGAGAAGATGCCTTATGAGATACTTAAGGATAAAAAACCTAATACTTCATATTTCCGAATTTTCAGTTGCAAGTGCTTTATTTTAAATAACGGAAAAAGACAAACTTGGTAAATTCGATGTAAAATTTGATGAAGGTATATTCTTAGGGTATTCATCTATGAGCGAGTAAAGCTTATAGAGTTTACAATCATAGAAATGCTTCCGTAGAATATTCAATTCATGTTGCTTTAGATTAGTCGTCGCCCCAAAAGTCGCAGAAGGATATTTGTTCTGATGTTTCAGGTGTGATAACAGAAAGATTGATCAACGAGAGTTCCAAAAAGGATCTTACTCATTCAACAAAGGATGAGGACATTACGGAAGATAAAGAGAAAAGCTTATATGAGGATGAAAAACAATAGACCTCAAACCAGCTACCTCGAGATTGGACAATCACAAAGCTACCTCGAGATTGGACAATCACAAAGGATCATCTGTTAGATCAAATCTTGAGAGACATCAAAAGAGGAGTAAATACTAGGTCACAGGTTAATAATTTGTGTAAGTATTTTACTTTCATTTCTCAGATTGTACCTAAATCCATATCTGATGTCTTTACTTGACGAGGGATGGTTACTTGTTATGCAAGAATTAATCCAATTTAAACGTAACGACGTTTGGGACTTTGTTCTGTGTTCGGTCGATAAAATCGTTATTGAAACAAGAAGGATATTTAGGAACAAGATGAATGAAAACGGTGTAATTACTAGAAATAAAGATAGCTTAGTGGTAAAAGGATATAAATATGAATTTAAGTTTATAATCTTTACATTCCTAAAAATAATTTTTCCAGTCATAAAACAAACACACATTTGTGTTTTGTTCGAATTTTAAGTTATGTATCATTGTAATTAAATTTTTTATTTCTTACTAGATTTTTATGTTAAATTTTAAGTTATGTGTCGATAGATTCAATTGAAATGTATCTAATATTAAATATGAATAACTCTAATCTAAAATTAAAACATTAGTTCACTACATTTTAAGAGTCTAACTTCTTCCATTGGAATCAACATCCTCTGGTTAATCTCTACATCTGTTTGCTATATGTTTTTTTTAATAAAACATATAATACTTTATTTGGTTGAAAGATATTGAGAGGGAAAAAAGCAACACAAATCTGTCGTAAAAATCAAGCATGAATACCACCAGAAGATAACAACTAGCCAATCCAATATGACATGTTTAAACTACTCAACACCCAGGTTAATACAATATCATCTCAATGTGTTCTAATCACCCACTTCAAATTTAAATGCACAAAAGGTTTGTTTCATAGTCTTTCACCTGTCAAATTTAAGATTCAAATACAAAACTAGAATGAGCTATAATAATAGAGCTTTAGTATATTGGACCTTAGCACGGAATGAAAATGCATGTCCAGTAGTGGTCTCCCCAGATTAAATACATTGACAACATTCAGATCTCACCTGTTAATCAGATTTATGATCTCTATCATTAGAAGATCAAGAAATTTTAAAATAAATAGAGATAGTAAATTTATAATAAACTACAAGAATATAAGAATGATTAGGAGTTTGAAGACAACTAACATACTTATATAAGCCAAACGAGATTGTTACACACTCCTTGAACTTTGGCTAGGACTGCGACTCCGGTAATGTCTAGGCTGCATTGCACACAACAGTGGAATAAAAGTTAAAACTGGTTTTGGGTTTGCAGAACTAGTATCTTAGGTAAAGATCATACAAATGTAAAGAAAATCTTAATACAACTGCATTTTCCCTTTTCTAAATAATCTCAAACTATTCAATTTAGATAAAAACTTACAGACAAGCTCGGGGATCTGGATCTCGAATGGGATCTGCAAATATTCAAACGAACAAAACTCAATTTAGTATCCAGAATGTGATATGAAATGTTTGATGACTTACTCCACAAGTCCAAATTCCACATCAAAGTTGGTGTAACCAAAAGGATGAAATCAATCTACCAGATTAGAAGAGTTGAGGGGGGAAGTAATTGAACTCTATGTCAATGTCATGCATAAGCGTTAAAATTCTATTGTGAGTAGTTCATGATACCTAGAACCGATTGTTGGTGAGATATAACCAACTCAATATAGGACAACAAAAGAAATCCTAAAGAGAAAAATAACCTCAACCCAGAAGTTAGAGCATAGGTTATTTGTAGTTTTGAACCGTATCACTGCTGATTTGTAACTGCTGTTACAATAGTATTATGTTCACAGTGATCCAGCTTTTAGGTTGCCACTCATCCATCTACTGTCATCAAGTCTACAATAATGGAAGACTGTGTTACCATGTCTTTAATCAATACAACATTAGTGTTTTGGTTAGTCACAATATTAAGGTGTTCCAGAGGTGCTCATCAACAAAACATCATTACCTCATACCACAAAGTTGCAGGCGTTTTGAGCACCACATGCCATCAAGATCCTAACATGCAGTTCCCAGGTCGCCACAAAAGGCTACAACTAGAAAACAAGAGAGTCAACCCTAATGAACATTTTATATTAAGCGGCATTAACACCCCTCCACGTTTCCACATATGAAGAATTATGCTGATAAGTCTATTGAATAGCATTAGACTTTGTGATAAGAACAAAGTAGATGGGATATATATAATATATAAAATGTGTTTACGTTCAGAAAATCGATTTGGAAATATAAGAAAATGATATATTCGCTCCAACTTGTACAAAAAGATAAAACAGAATAGCTTTAGGAATCTCATAACATTCTAGAAAATACAACCCATTCTCAAAAGAAACTGAATGCAAGACCCTATGGATCCAGATAATTTGAGGCAATAAAACTTAATGCATTTCTTAATTAAATATGAAATAAAGCCTAAAGGGTGATAATTATATATTAATGACAACAGAAGATATTTCAAATAATTTTCTTTCCAATTCAGATATAATGCATACCAACTAGCAGAAATCCAACTGAATCAAGAGAAATTGCAATCTTACAGTATGTTTGGAAAACAAAGAAATTTTAAAAAATAGAGTGAAATACCTAAATATGAAATCAGCTAACTGTTATTAAAGTTGCCAGCTCATCTCTATAATTATTCAATAACAATCCTCTAAGGTAGGAGGAATATCGAGCACAAGATAGTCTATTAGTCTAATACTATTACCACACTGAATTTCTGCTCTATAAAAACAAATATCTAAGAGAAAACTTGAAGACCTTATGAAATTTTTTATTTGTATGGTTAACAAACTAAGTTTCATCTCCTCCTAAAGCTCAACCGAGTTCTAATGTAGTTTAAAAATATATCAGAAGAGACATGACTGAATACCACTACACAGATGCATAATAATAATCATAGCTAGCAGACAATACTGGCCGGGAAATAGCATGAATTGATTAATTAGCATGAGTAATGATACGCCCAATCATCCTATAGAAGATGTTGGAATTTCCGCCTTCATTGCGATCTGCCCCTAGTCGCCTAAATTGTGGCATTAGGTCTGGCTTTCATTGCAGCCTCCAATGCCTTCATTGTGTTGGGTTTGAAGGGGTGGATTTAGTCGTGTTGTGTTTATAAATGGGGACAATCATCCTATAAGATAACATACATTATTTAAGATCAAAACACAGTCAAAATCGCAATTTTTTCAAAAAGTTGTATCTCAAAAATGATTTTTATGAAAAACTATTTGAAATAGCTTCAAAAACTAAGTGATTTTTTGAAATTTTGATATGCAAAAAAAGATTCAATAAAATAATGAAATATCTAAAATAACATTTTAAGAATAACTATTCAAACCAAATTTTCATTTGAAACTTTTATGAAACATTTCTTGGTAAATTTTTTTTACACAAAATTATGTTACGCTGTAAAAATCATTTTTAAAAAGAACCAAAAGAAACGGGCACTATATTATTTTTCCAGTGCTTGACAACCAGAGAGAGACTGTATAATATTAATATCATCGCTTCCTATCAATTTATTTGGATCCCATCATGGGAACCACCATCAAGCATTTAATGTAAACAAGCCAAGTATAATCACATGATACACTTATTAGATGACCATATTTAATGAAACTCAATTTTACCAAGTATGCGGAAGCATAAAAACTGAAAAACCTATACAGTTTAATCAGACAGCAAAAAGTTGTATACATATCAAGACTGAGTAGAAACTGACCTTGAAAGAGACAATGAGTGCCGAGAGTGTTTTGCTTTCGGAGACAAACTGCAAAAATCAACACTTCATCAATTCTTCAAATTTACCAAAATACATATCAAATCATACTAGATCAGTGCAACCAAAATGAACCTTCTGCTCCTGCCACTGTAGCTATGACTTAGACTGCGGCTTTGACTTCGTGATGCATATGGGCTGCGGCTTCGAGAATAGCTCCTCCTTGAATCACGACTAGGACTTCTAGAGTAACTCCGATCATATTCCCTCACCTGGGCCAACCAGAGACATATGTCAAGTAAGTACATAAATATAATGCAGAATGTAGCCAAATATAACATCCACTCACTCGTATGTATGCCCGAGAAAATGCATTTCGAAATTCAGAGTCATCAAGTTTCCTGATCTGTATGACAACACAGTAATTGAGACATAATAATAGTACTGGTCAATGCCAACCGCAAAAAATCCAGCTCAATTACAGGTAAGTAAATATTAAACCCGGTAACTCTTTGTTGATACAGGTTAAGAATACTTACAGCATATTTCACATCATCATAATTGGTATAATCCACTATCCCAATCAAGCCTGCATACAAATTATACCCATGTTTGAGAATTATGTGTTGAGAATTTTTATTAAAAAAACAGTAAATCACACCAAAAAACCTAGACTTAATGCACTATTTCCTAGAATTATTGTATCCCAAAATTAGTCATGTCTATCAATATGACAATATCTCACATTTGAGACGATGATTAAAAGTAAAAACTGAACCAAAATAAAACCTGAAACATTTTCTTATTAGCTTATTTTGTATTCAAAGAAAAGCTTATCATCAAATCCCTGCATTTTTTTCCCTCACATTGCATGCAGTACCACTTTTACATTTTCTCTAATAGAAAGACTGAGTAAAAGTGTCTGTGCACTCAAGGACCTCAATTTTTTAAACACATCTCACACCAAAATACATTATAATCCACTTACCTCCACGCTCCCGGAATACTTGAGAAAAACACACATCACCAGCTTTACGCATGTGATCCTAATCATTTAGAATCCAGAATCAGCAAATATTATTGAATAATTTTTAACCAATACAATGATTTCAATGTAAAATGTAATTAATCCCCCCAAAATCTTCTGTAAGTATTAAATGATCACAGGAATCATCAACCAGTCCATACTTTCAGGTCTTGCCATGAAGCAGAAGGAGGTAATCCAGTCACCAGAACTGCAAAGAGAATAAAAAGGGTCAACCAGAACATTCTTAGGTACAAATAGGAAGTAAGATAAAAAAATGAGGAAAAACCACTGTACAGTGATATAAAGCCAAAAACTATATTTTTAATTATATTAGGAAACAATAGATACCACGATAGTCAGATCGCCTGGAAACTCCGTGGCTACCACTTCTACCGCTATGCCTACTATATCGGTCTACTGATGATGAACTTGACCGTCCACCATGTGCAAGTTCAACCTACAGTAACAAATATCGACCAAAACTTCATATAACAAAACTTGCTAATGTGTGCTATAGAGGCGGATAAAAAAAAGAGAGAAAGGAAAAATATTCTAACCCGTAATCGATAACCATCAAAATCATAACCATCTCTGTAGTAAATTGCATCTTGAGCATCACGAGCATCCTCAAACTGCAATATAATGGTTATAATATACATAAATATGTGTGATAAATATCCTTCCCATCCTTTCAAAATGAAATACAGACATACCTCAACAAAAGCATAACCCGGTGGCTTAGGAGGGATCTTCAAATCAATGTCAACAATAGGACCATACTGTATAAAGAAAGCAAAGAAAGCAATTGGTGAAATCGAAATCTAGGCATACTGATCTTCAACTATATTTCATGATTGTGTGAGTCCATGTGTGTAATGCATGCAAGTATTACCACAAAAGCAAATATCATGAGTAAGTGGTACACAATACTTGATGGAAAACATAAACAGGATCATAACTTAAGTCTCTATTTGTTCCCGCGTCTAAGAGGCTAAAAATCGGGGGAAGCTCCAAATTGAAGCTTCTTACTTTTTCTCGTTTTCTTTGCATAAGGACGCGAGAAATACCCTCCAAACCCCCCAAACACACGCCAGCATTGAAGTTAACAGCACTACAGTATGTAGAAAGGAATTAGATACGAGTACCTTGTAGAAAAGATCCTCTACTTCTCTCAGACGAATATCGCCGGGAAGATTGCCAACATATAATGTGCGACTTGACCGGCCACTCATTTTGTTTCCCAAATTACAGACTGCGCAGATGAAATTACATATCTAGGGTTCATATATAAATCCCGGATACAAAATAACTTGTAAAATTGGTATTGAAATCAAAACCCTACTCATCTATCGGAACAGCGAGAGGGAGTGAAAATTCAAAGGAAAAATAACGTGCTATAAAAAAAACATGCAATTAGAAAATTGAGGATTATGGACTAGATAGATACCTGAGACGATGAAATACAGAGAGATGCGAAGAATGGAAAACGGTGTCCTTTCGATGGAGAATATCAGCACTCACGCAGAAAAAAAAAAGGTAAAATCTCGTGGGGACACGAGGTCAGAACAATGATCGCATCTTAGCCGTTGGTGGCTTCATGTGAGAAGAAAAAGGCAAACTCTTGAGGATGTGTTTTATATTATCACCAATAGTAATACAACACCTAACTTTTGAACACCTCCAATAAAATGATGACAACTATAATTTTTCTTAAATAAAAAACTACACTTTTAACTTTAACTTTAGTTAATTATAACTAGTGGGATACTTCCCAGTGGCATTTTTATTGAGAAAAAATTGCTTTTAAGTAGAAAATATAGAAGAAGAAAAAAGGAAAAAAAATAAATATATGCACTTTAATTAAAAAGGAATTGACTTATTGGAGAGTAAAGAAATGAAGAAAAAAGTGAACATTTGCATATAGATTAAAAAGAAAAACATTGTATTAAAATTAAGTCAAATGACTTGAAACGTTTTAGTAATAGAAATAAAATAAATGTAAAATAAAGAAATATTAAATATTCATTATAATTGTGTAAGTTGGAAATTTGAAAATGAATGTGTAATATGTGAAAGTGTAGAAAGTGGAAAGGTTAGTGACACGCATTGGAAAAGTAATTATAATGTGGCTATTTAGTATGAGAATAAGATCGTCTAGGGCAGATAGTCATTCTCTACACAAGAAATTATTTTTCGAGATTGAGAAAGTTGCAGTTTCAACTTAAGAGTTCTGCAACCATGGAAAATGAGACAGGCTTGTCCAACGAGTTACGGTAATGAAGATAAATTTTTTGCATGTTAGTTGATCAAAGTCCGCCATAAAGATTGATAATCAGTGTTTTATCTTTTGCAGGTCGTGTGAAGCATGGCTGAGAGAAAGGAAGATGATTGATGACAAGCTCCAGCAGTGGTATGTTAAAGAGCCCAAGGCTAATGAAAATAAACATAAGGGAAAAGGTTTTGCCTCAGCGCCAAAGGATGTTGAGTTGGTGGATTTGACTGGTGAAAAATCAGTTGATGATGGCGAAGAAAAAAAAGCAAGGTAATAAAAAACGATATTATTTTTTCAGTTGCATGAAATGAACGGTATCTGAAAGCATGCGTTTAAAACTAATGTATGGAGAACCCGGTAGACCAAAAAAATGCTTAATAACATATATTTTTTTATAAAGAGTATACTTTTGTAACATGGAAAGGAAAAATAAGTGTGAAATAGAAATAGAAGATCATAAGACGTTGTTCTTCGTTGTTGCGTTGATTGTAAGAAGGTTGAATATAACCAAAGAGAAATGTGCACATGAAATTGTGAATAAGTTACATGCAAGATATGTACAGTTTTTATGATTTATTTCATAAAAATATACTTTCAATATTATGAAATAATGGTTATAGGATATGCATGAATCAGTAAAAGTTATAGTTACATATATTGTGAAAATGAAAATGTTAGTTGTATTGTTATTAAGTTGAAATGTTTTATTGTTGTCAAATTAGGGTTATTCCTCTAACAGGAGTTGTTGATGAAACAACGAAGAAAACTAATGAAAACCCGACCACACCTGTTAAGGATGGTATGTTGGACAGGCATATGAATGGGTTCTTCTTCTAATGAAGATGGTGAGTCTGATAAGGAGTCGAATGAGAATTTAGATGAGGAGTCAGATGTCGATGATTTCTACTGGGAAATAGTCATAAGTTATGGATACAGAGCCAAGAAGAATGTAATGGTATGTGGGATAATTAGTATCATATAATTAGAATTTCCATATTTAAATACTTATAATAATTTTATGTTGTTCCTGTATGTAACAGCATTTTTCCATAGTGGTTACAGACAAATGCTTATACAGGAATCAAAGGTCCACTGACTTTATTGACTCGGATACAGGCAAAACCTATGTTGAGGTACATAGTGCCAAGCGTAACAAAAAGATTGTACAGAAGGAGAAGTTCATCGGTAAAGGTTGGTACCAATATGCGAAGAATAAGAAAGTAAAGAGGGGAGATAAGCTTTGGTTTACTATTGGCTATCCTCCGGATCGACTATATGTTTCACTCTTAAATATATGAATATTATGTGTTTGACTGGTGTTTTGAAATATGGATGTTAAGAAGTTCTCAAAGTGTGTCTGATGTTTGTAGTTGTCGAATTATGTAATATGTAGTATAATGTTCCAGAATTATGATATAATATGTTAAGCTGACAGGATGATGTTTGTCACACCCTCATTTTCACCTTTATATCCTTTCATACCCTACGTTCGTCATATCATACATCGTTATATTGTATATCGAGCATATGGATTCACAAGGTAAGGATTGGGTCGATTCGTTGTTTTCCATTTGAAATAAGATAAATTGCCTATCATGGACTACATTGAAGAAAAAGTTTATCATCTAAGGTTTGGTTCAAGTTGAAAAGTCTACTCATGTAGATTCCTTTAAGGAGAATTTACTTGAAAAATATTAGGATATTCAAGATCAATATTCCTAATGAACATGAAGTGCAAGGCCTAATTCAAGATTTCTTCATCCAACTTTGTTTCAAATTCTATGTTCAAGTGGAATTCAAAAGATCACAAGTTCGTAATTCAAGACTTCATCCCTTTCAAATTCAATGGCATAAGGGAGATACATCATTCCAAATTCAAGATTCATGAAATTCAAGATTATATTCAAGAATATTACAAAGGGAAATTTCATGACATTACAAGAATGTCACATTTGTTACAAAGTTTCTAACTCTAAGTAATGCTTAGAAAATTAAGTTATTTCTAATCTTTATTCAAGTTTCTAATCAACTTCATGATATAGTACCCTTCATGCCCCATCAAGTCCACGTGTTCCTCATTATGCCTACAAACATCCAAGGAGAATAATTAAGATTCAACTTAACATTGGAACATTTCAAGATCAAGATTATGCATGCTTAGTCATGGGCAATTTTAATGTGATATAAAACCGTCTCATGCAAGAAGTGACAAATTGCCTCATAACCAAACAATTCATGTCACAAAACCAAAGGAATGAACCCATAGTGATGCATCTAAATATCAGAATTTTGAAATATTGTCGGTAGAAACTTGGACCACAAGGGCAGTCCAAACACAAGCAAACAAATGGGTTCAGGTTTGGGAACAAGACAAAATGCAGCAGAAAAAAGACAGACAAGGCAAGTGTAACAGCAAAAGTACAGCAAAGCAGAATTTATGGAAATGGAAAGAATTGGGCTTGGCGTCAAGAAAGTGATGAGAAGCATATCCCAATGAAAAGATTCTGCAGCAAACAAGTGAAAGAGACCTTATTGTTTGACTATAAGGAAGGGAGCAACAGTAGGTAAAAGGGGAGGGAGAAACATTGAGAACATTTATTAAGGAAAAGAGATTTGAGAAAGAAGAGAGAAAAACCATTGAGAGAACAAGAGAGTGATAGAAAATCAGAAAAAGGAAGTGAATCATATAGCACATCTAACAAAAGTCATTGGTGATTAGAAGGAGAATAGTAACTCTTGGGTATCTTTTCTTTAAAACTCTAATCTCTTTACATATTTGCATGTTTTTATTTTCTCTCTTGAATACTATTTGTGTGTTCATATTGTAATAAGGTCTCAAGAGTGACCAAGAACTATTGTAAGAACCACAAGAAAAAGGAAAGAAAATAGTTTAGTTTTTATAGTGAAATGAGTTGAAAAATACTCATGTGTGTTGTCATGTTCGCACTGCAAACATCACTTTGTGGCACTCAGAGTGTCACTGAATAGCCAGTTTTCCCTTAATTTTAGCTAGCGAGTTGTTCGCTGGCACCTTCGCACAGCGAGCTTTGCCCCCTTTGCCTCTGTTTGTGAACAGTGCATTTTTTGTGGTTTTCCCTAGCAAGTTCGCACAACGAACTTAGGGATGTTTTTTCTAGGCAGCTTCGCTGCAAGGTTCGCACAGCGAACTTCAATACTTTTCACCCCTGTTTGTGAATATTTTACTGATCTGGAAAAACCCTAAGAAGTTCGCACAACGAACTTTTCATAGTTTTCAAAAAAATTTTTTTTTTTCATTTCTTGTTTTTATTCGTATTTTCAAGCCGATTAACCTGATGTGGTTGTACGATCATTCTATGTGGATATTATTATGGTCATTTTTTACTTTTGGTTCCAAAAACTATTTTCAAAAATAAACTCTCGATTTTATCGAGCCATTTTCAACCTTGTAAGTCGATTGCCTTGTGCGTCGCCATCGACCTTGTTCGCATCACTTCAAATATTTTTACAAGCAACAAAACCCTTAATCCAACATCAAGTGATATTTTTCTCATAAAAAATTAAAAAAAACAATAAAGATACGATTAGGGTTATACGCCATGAGCTTTAAAGTGGTGGATAAGGAATGAGAATGGAACCCCTCTTATACTCGTTCCAAATGTTTTGAATACAAGGTGCTCGACTTGGTTATTCGAAACATTCATCTCTATCCAAAGTCTTTAGTGTGATCCTAATCAAGAACAGTTTCTTCTCAAAAACCTAAAAATAATATCAACTCATCAAACTTCTTTTCGCCTCAGGGCATCAATCTGGAAACCCTTTTTCAAGGTATAAAATTAACCAACATACAATCATTTCACAAGCCTCCGAACTACGGAGTTTTGATTCTTCACTTCTTTTAAGTGAGGATACGTAGGCACAAGGGTCACAATCTTTGGCGAGCACTCTAATAAAAATTCAACTTTTTTTTCCTTTAAGCAA